CCATATATGCTTCAACGTGATTAGATATTCTCATTTTCTTCGCGTAACGATTGTGAAACTTCATCACTATCCCACCCCAAGTCATCACAAAGGAATTATTTTCGTCCTGCAATTCATCTCTGCCCCGAGTTTATTAGCCAATTGTTAATCATACTTTTGCTTCTTCTCGGTCTCGACTGCTGTCAACTTGTCCTGACTAGTGATGCCAACCTCTATCAGGATTACTTCACGTCGCTTCTTATCGTATACCAGGATGTCCGGTCGATCCGCTTTTATTCTAAATGCAGTTCTTACTCGCGTGTCGACTCTGATTTCAATGTTCTCGTTGGGTAAGATATTTCACTGACACCTACCCAACCCCTCATCTTCACTAATATTATTAGTTGTTCCTTGCATCCATCATAGCAACCATGCCGCACTTCACCTCACATACCATGTTGATCTTACGGATACGTATAACGTTCCCTACAATGTGGACACACACTTTTCTCAAATCCGAACATTATATATTTATATATTCATGCACATCATATCAGAAGTTAATCTTTTTTCCTGTTTTATTTCTTCCGTTGAATCGTGTTCCGGCTCTCTCGCTGTACTCTCGGGACACGCTCATTATGCTGGTTTCGATGCAGCTCGAGCACTCTCTTATATCCTTTACAAAGCTTTTTTCCAACAACCTCACCTGTTTTTCACTAGTAATAATAAATAATAAAGCCTCAGTTTTTTTTCTTTAATTCTCCATTTGCTGCTTTGTGATGTGATTTGACTAGCTGGCCACTCAACCGCTCGGCAACTCCGCAGAGCCAAAAAAGACAGTTGCTTGGCTCTACCGAGTCGCCCAGCAGTTGATCTGCAGGTATCACAAAAAAAAAAATTTATGTTTTTATAGCTTTGCAGAAAATCGAAAAATATTTTTGCTCTCAAAAAAAGAAGAAAATGGAAGGTGAACACATTGTGACCAATCCATCTATAATTAATCACAGTTTCAGTTCCGTGAAATATAGATTCTCGATGGTTTGGTTAGAAGAGATAATTAAGAATAATCGAGGAAAGAAGTTTTTGAATCCGAGAAAAATGAATTAATAGGCGTAATTACTTTTTGTTCAGAAAGTCAACTAAAACATTTAATTGTACTATAACCAAATACCGTCCGGCGTTCATTTTAACTGTGCTTTCGAGCTGAGAATTTAATTACTTTTGGTTGGATATTAAAATTAAGTTGCTTTCAAATATTGTACAATTAACGTGACATCAATAAAATTCATAATATAGTCATGAAATCCATTGTTGAGTTTTTACAAGCACTGAACAAGAGCAAAAATAGGACATATTGATGAAGAGTTCCAAAATTACCAAAGATTTTTCAATATTTTTAGTGAGAATTAAAGTAAGTGACAACTATCACTGCTGCGCAAGACATTATTCAAATTGTCTTTCTTTGTTAGCTATTACACAAAAGGATAGATTGTTCGAGGACAATTCATTTGCTTGATTAATTTTGACTTTTTACAAATTTTTAGTATCTTAATCTTAACCTGTAAAGTACATTTACATGAGAAAATTTCACAGAATTTTGTACAATAAAATCTTAAGAATTCGTTGCTTTAGAATCGTTTGAAAAATTTTTCCATTATAAACTTAGTGCTTAAAATATTTCAACAAAATATGAATATGCAAAAATGTGCTTTTGTCTTTTCCAATAACTTTAATCAGTTCCTCTGAACTTGCTAATTTAATGTGTCATTCACTCAGTTATTGCATCAATTTTAATAGTAAATCAATTACTGTCTGTTTAATTTTTGAGTTGTACGTTTGCTGTGAGATGAAAACGAAATTCATCAGTTACCAAAGACAGAGACTGATGATTGATGACTAGCCGAAATATGACTGACTGCTTTATATGGTGCAAAATAATTTAAGGAATATTAGCAAAAGCTGAAATTAAATACAATTACTCGATGAACAAAAATGGTAAGTATTCATTCAAAACTGATGGAAAGGAATTTGGGCGAGAATGTTGCAGTTGCACTATGATTTTTTGTTGTCGTACAGAGCTGGATTTGTTTCTCTTTCAAAATTTTGATAAACAAGTAAGACTTTTAAAAGTACTTACATTATGCGTAACATGCGTAATCATTCAATTCAAAGTGCTTTGCGCAATTTTATGAACTTCGTTGACACGAGCAAGGATTCAAGAGAAAAGAGTTGCAGTCAAGCACACCGATGAACATTCAGTTGTCGGTAAGGTTAATTTGGAATAAATGTGAGAAATGGTGAAATCTTTTGATAATATTATTTACATTAGATACTTGTGACAACCTATTTAAACGAAGGAAGTTGAAAATCAGCTTTCAGTCTTTAGCCTTCAGTCTCAAATATTATTCAATCATTTGGTACAGCATAAGGTAATAATTACCTTAATTGGGATGCATGTAAATTATTAAATTGAGGATGATGGTTCGCCGCTTCTAAGTAGTATTTAAAGAAATTCCCAAATGCATTTAAAATCATTCTAAGAATTTAACACAGTAAGTGGGTCGGATAGGGATTAATCTCACGAGCAGTTATGACTCTAAGTGCTCATCAAGAAAGTTGTGATTATCTGGGTTACTTATCTCAATTTATTTTAATACCGAGTTTTTATGATTATGTAATTTCGCATAGCTCTTTTTTGCTTCGGTTTTGATAAAAATTTTTACATTTGTAGTATTTAACATTCAATAAAAGTTTTAGTGAAATTTGTATCTTGGTTCTCGCAAATATTTTTTGGTTCTTTCCTAATCTTATTTTCCGATTAATCTCCGTAGTTACTTGTTTCTGATGCCTCTTTATTTACTATTAAGGTTTTGCTTAAATTCTGCTCAGATAAATTTGGAACCGCGCAAAATAATCCATATTGTTCAGAAACAGCGCAAAATGAATGGAAAGAACTACAGCAAACAATGAAATGCTTTTCTGATCATCCATTCCAGATCAAATTTATCAGCATGTTTATTACTTATTCCTTGTTTCCCATCTTTATCACTTCTAATTGCTCAAAGAATAGAATTCATGCCTCACAATCTATCAAAGTTATTAAAGTTCTTTGACTTTGCATCCTTCCAGTAATGTCCAATTAGCTTTTCACTAAGTTTCAATCAAATGTTAGCCAATCAAATTTTTTAATCATTAATTAGCAATTAATCAGATTTTACTAAGACTCCAATAAATTTATAGAAGACGAAACTAACTTGCGTACAAAAGACAACGATACACATTCGGAAGCAAGCACTCAATCTGGTTCGGTACTTTGCATTAATTGTATAAAATAATTATCAAGGAAGCCAAGCCTCGCTTGATTTGATAATGGCATTTAATACCAGTCTAAATTATTATGAACAATTTTTAACGAATGTTATATACTGCGCTCATTTTGCAATAGAAAATTTCTTTGTAAAAAATTCAAATTTGAACTAGTTTTAAACTGGAAGACTGTCGTCGACTTTGAAAACAGCTAGTGATGTATGGTGCAGTGGTAGTCAAGAAATGATAAAATCGGACAAGAAACAGTCCAAAAGACTAACGTTGATGAGTCGTGCGAAACGATTTCCTTCAAATAGCAACAACATAGCACACGTCGCCAAAGTTTTCCACATCGATGCCAAGAAGGTTTGCATATAAATGGCTTTCTTTGCTAATTTCTTTGGTTTTTCAACAGATGGTCAAGATTATGTAAAGATCAGGAGAGTTTACATTAGAGTTTACTTTTGAGGGTCATAAATTCTGTATTATGCATTTGACATTCTCTTACTTAATTCAGAAATGAATTTGAATCATTTGGAGAGAAATGAATAGTATAGAAATGACCATTTCTGTTTTTAATGGTGATTTTGATAAAAAGGTTAGGTTATAGATTAACCCTTTGTTATCGACTAATCAGTTTTTTCAGTCGACTATAAAGTATTAATTTATTCATTATACATGCTTTCAAGACAATGGAATTGTCTTCGCACTGTCGGCAAATAATCAACAGAGAACTTTTGTACTGGTCTGATCGAATCCAGTTCGAAATGAAACAAGTTGAACCTAACTTTTTCTCGAAATGAATTTTGCAAACTTTGATTATATTGACAAAGAGAATTGAAGCGAAAATTTTCAAAAAACTGCAGGAGATAATAAATTTATTTAAATCTCTAATATAGTAAGCTGATTTAAAAGTTCATTCATTTCTACTAGATCTTCATTTGCATAGAATTCATTAACGTTAGTCAATGATTTTATGTCAACTGGATAATCGCTGCTTAGTAACTAACGAAATGTTTTCGTAGTCAATTTGCATATTTTTCTGCCAAAAACTGAAGTACAATGTGAATGCTTTGATTCATATTTTATCATTTTAGGTCGATGTATTAATGAGGAATTTAAATACGAGAACAAAACGAATACAAGGCTTGAATGAGGAACTTCGTGAGCTCCTGGAACATTTCACAAATGATTGAAATACGCCTCTTTTGGTGAATACTTCTCTGACATCGAAGTCAACGTACTAGACTGATGTATATAAACTTAATTTGTGCCAATATTGATAAATATGAGACTTAACTGATGGCATTTCTGCATCTGCATATAAAATTATGATAAAATAAAACTTATTTTGTTGCATGGCTTCATTTTACTTTTTGTGGAAGTATGCACTTTATGAGTGTGAATATGCAAATAAAGAAGACATTATTTTAAAGATATATAAAGCAGGTTATTTCATTGTGATATCTTGTTTGTTCATTTAATAGCTTGTGAGTGTGTATCGACAAGTTCGTTTTTGTAAAAGGTTGTTATAAACCTTCAAAGTTGTATCTAGATTATGAGCCAAGCACTTCTCTTTTTATTGTTATTTCAATTCAATTTCTAAAAATGTTCATCAAAAGTTCTTTGTTTTCCAGAAAAAACAATGGAGTCACTTTCAAAATCTTCAAAATACTCAAAAACTACCAAGTCGACAAAAAGCTCAAAATCAAAAAAAGTTTACATTTTACAACTACTTCTGTTTTTTGGTTGTGACTTGATGATCAGCTAAATGGTGCATGAACGATGTCAAATATTTGGTTTGAAAAGAATGTTTCAGACGAATAGCAAACATTTTATATTTCCTCAGACTTTTTTAATTTTTACTGCCATATTTTTGTAAATTATCTACTAACAAAATATTAACTATTCTCTAAAAGTTTGCTTCTCTTTCGAATTCAACAAATTCAAAAAGTCGAAACAGCACTGGTCGAAGGTAATGCTTTTCCTGAATGTTCTTTTGAAAGCTTTCACAGTTTTAAATTATTAAAAATACTGCTGGAATTCGACTTTATGTTTGATCAGTTTTCAATATTCTGCTATGAACTAATATTGAATATGATCGGACTTTGTTTTGGAAAAAAATAATTATATTAGTATCGTTCTTCCATTTTACAATTCTTTAAAATATTTCAATGTTTATGTCTGACATATGTGTATTTACAATGCCTGCTTTCAGCATTTCTATCAAGAAATGTGAGTTTTATTTTGTTATCAACATATTATTAATGATATTAGATGAACAAGTGATTTGCACTATGACCTTAACAGTTGTCTGCAAAAAAATTCAGCAAAATACTTCACTGCTAATCTCAAAACGAAGAGTCAAATTTCATCAGAATATTAGTACATATTCATATTAATTATACATGAATGTACGATAAATTCCTCATGTAAAATATTCAGAAAGACATTTGCTACTTATTATCTTTCAAAAAATGAATATCGTCTGCAAGATTTCAATTAAATATTTATTTGAATAAATGGTTCACAAGGACAAATTTAGCAAATAATAAAATATCTGAAAATAGCGCTTGCTGATATGATATGACAAAGTAATAAAGTTTTAGTTTACATGCATATTCTATCATAGAATACGCATCTAATTTGTATTAAGTATTACCATGGCAGTGATGTAATTGCTGACTTTGTAGATGTGACAGATTAGTTTAATTATTTGGATGTGTTTTGTAAATCAGATTGTGACTGGGCGGTATATTTGTTTGGATTTAAGACTATTTCAGTCCAAAAAGTTTTAGCTCTATCCAAGAAACAAAGCAAAGAAGTGTCTCGAACTGGCCGAACAGTGGTTTATCATTTCAAAGTAAGCTAACCATTTGCAATGCCAATTGCTAACTAACATAATGGCGCACAATGTTCCATTGACACTTTGCAACTTTTGAATGCCTGGTTGTGACTGTTTCGAATGAAAATATTTGGCATAAATAATATATAAAAGTTTGTTACTTTTCATTAAGAATGTTTGATTATGCGACACAATTTTCCAGTCCGGTGGTGGAAAGCTATTTGAAGGTCTCAAAGTACTTCAACTACATGTATTTCTACTACAAATATCACCAGTATACTGAAACTGTCCAACCATTTTCAAATTCTCAGCTAAGCAATAATCATTGCTATTAATGGACAGATTTGTTAATTTTAATCCATCAAGTAATCAATAACTTGTTATTTTTAGTAATGTTTTTGGTCTAAGCAAAACACTTTTCAGAATGCTGTAATACTAAGAACAACTTCCGAAAAGGCCAGGTATATAAGCAGATATTTAACTTTTGCAATACATTTCAATCTCTCATAATGACGCAGAACGGAGTTCTCAAATTTCACAAACTGATTACAATTTAAAATGATTGAAGACATAAATGAATTAAATAACTAACCACACAAAATTGCATGCAAAACAAAACGACAAACGGAAATAGTTCAGACCAGATTGTCCGATTATGAAAATGTAAGTTTTAACCAGTAATTTTTGTCAGTGCATAAAATTTTAACGGAAAAATTTACGGTCATGATCTAATCTCAAAAATTTCGCTTCAACTTACATGAGGTTACATAAAATGAGCATTTTCAATTCTCAGAATGAATTTTTTTCTTATTTATGATTTACTTCATTTTCCATTACTGCCAAGTTTATTTTGAACCAAAAAAATGGTGCAATTTTTAAAAAAAGGCATAATAATTTAATCGCTGGTGCTAGTGATAAGTATATGGAAAAAGATTTATCTCTGCTTACTTTCAAGTTTTTCTTTAACAAATAAAAATATTACGTAAGTAGTTTGGTCGTTTCTAATCTGTGTTCATATGAATTATTTCTTACTGATTGAAGCATGACAAGTTTGTAAAACCAAATGAAATTCAAGGATAAAAGTGTGACCGAAAAATTGGCAGGTTCATTTGCAATAGCTTTGCCTGAATACTTGGTACGATATGATGATGAGGTTGGGAACTTTTGCCTACAATTAATTTTATAGCGATGGTAGCATTCTTCATTTAAATTATTCAACTCATTATTTATGCATAATTCGAATATGAAAATCACATCCAAACTTTATATCATATATAATATACAAGAATTTGGTTTGCAATTCCAATATGTTTGATTATTTAATTTATTGAAGATAATTTACTAGTCACATAGAGATGATGTTTTAGTGTGATACGGTATTCGAAAAGATCGAGGCTGAAATGCGACCTGCTAACTACCCACTTCTGGACTCTGCCTATGACGACAATGTTTGATTGTCAAAAATTTCCATTAATTATTTTAGACATACTTTAGATTTTGCATTAAGTATAAGCGGGAAACAATTTTTATTCATAACGACCCTACAGAAAACAAATATTGTGAAGAGTTAAAAAAATCCAAAATCATCAACTAAAAATTTAATTCAAAATGTTGAAAAAGGTAATAAGCTTGTTTTCTAACTAGTAGTACTGAACTTAAAGAATAGTTTCAGTCTAACAAAAAAAAATAGAAAACATATCTGCGTTCAGATGCAAAGCTTCCTCTTAGTAGATGTTTCCCACTAATAATTACTTACTTCACTTAAATTGCACACAGGGGTTGCATACATTATAACCCGCATGTTCGTTAAAATTGTCCCAAAGGATGCTAAAAACTGATTTCAGAAAACGACTTTTGAAAAAGTTGCAGCAAAAATACGTCCGATGCATCTAAAAATGAAACGGAGGAAGATGATAACCAGAGAGCAGCCCATCACGAGATATGCCCCTGTATGTCTCATGTTGGCAAGGCATACTTTTGCAACGGGAAAATCAGTTTGTGTGCTGCATGTCTGAGCGATATAATTTATTCACGCCCCACGTTTATGACTTCTGACTTGAATGTTCATCGCTTAGTCCTGACACTAAGAATGCAAATTAACCACAGCTCTGTCGCTAAGATGTACTTAGAGCCATTGTAAAAATAACTTCTTAATTTTTGATTTCAAAGGTCAAAAGAGCATGTGCAAAGCACACTGAAGGAGCTTTTGTAGGAAATTGAAACTTTTGTTACAATATTTAATGGTTGTCTAAATTCATCTCAATGACTCCTTACTCCTTTCAAAAAGGTCAAGGGACAGTTGCCACAAACTAGAAGCATGAAAGGTTTAAAGTGCAGTAATGTAAAATAAAAGTGGGATTATATTTGTTTTTTTTTCTCAAAAATTCTTTGTAATTGATTAACTGTTCTAACGTTTGATCCTAGTTGCTTTAAAAAGACTTTCAGATTTTGGATCGTAAAAAATATTGATCCTTATAAATAGCATTGACTAATTTTTTAAAATTATTTTACAGGTGATTGCAAAGAAAAATATCATTGTGGATATGCAAGGTAAAAAGTTGCGTGTAGTTGCAACTATCCGCAAAGGAGGAGACGATAATGTGCTTGGCAATATACCATATCTTCTAGCGGGCAAACCAGTGCAAGTTCCTACTGCAGCGGGTGTTGTGACAGAAACGTGGGAGGATGTATACGGAAATAATGTGAGGGTTACAGAAGAACTAAAAAAACTGAAAATCGCGACAGAGGAAGCGCTTAGGAAGGATGAAGACGAGAAATATCAGAAAGATCGGATGAAAAAAATCAACGTTATGCTTAACATTTGCAATCTAGACATGGCAAACAAGCAAGAGCTAAAAAAGAATCAGCAAAAGTTCGAAATCAAATCGATGAATCAGAAGGACCTGATCAAAGTACTCAAAGCCAACAAGGAAGATGATGTTGTCATTCAGCATACTCAGTGTATGTCATTTATTCCAGTCAAATTACACCATCTTTTAACTCAGCCAACTGACTCATGCAAGTGCTCACATTTCGAGTGCAGCGTTATCATTTCACCAGTAAAAGCTCACTTTTACGAGGTAGTGCTCAGTATGGTATATTGTAGTATGCAAAAAACAAATCTTTAATTTCCCTCTAATTGCTCGTAACTGTTTCAGATTCAACCTCATCCCCAAGAAAAAGTCAGTGCCTTTTTTGCTCGAGATACCTTATATTTATGAGTTGATATTGAGGGATCAATTTGAGAAGTAACCGGATCGGCTTACCATTCCAATCGAATTGCTTACAAATTTGCAATTGCTTGCCTTATCTTCCTCTTCTGCTCCTTCCCCCATTAAGAAAGATCAAGCATTTTCCCAGAGAAAAACATTATTGCCCGAAATTATAGTATTTTCACGATATGTCTGAAAACATACTGGAAATAAAGCAACCTATCTGTAGGAACAAAGAAAGGAAAAAAGAAGTTAAGAAAGTCAACTCCACAAAAGGACAAAATCAAAAATACATTGGTGACGTCGGACAAAGAGGTCAAGATCAAGGTGGGAATAGAATTTTTGGATTCAAAAAATTTACTTGAGCTTGGAATCCAAGTTCAATTATGCAAAATAAATCACAATACTAATTATATCGTACGATTAGAAGCGATGAATATATTTTATAAATGCTTCAAAATCAGATAACAGTATAATGCTGACTAATTTTACTTATCATGTTATTCAATTTTGGCTGATATTGATTAACGAGATAAAATTGGTGATTGATTAATATCATAAAAATTGGATAATTTGATAAATACGTAAAAATGAGCATAGTTTGGCGAGGGAAGGCATAGTAGCAATACAAGTAAAAAGTATAGCTACACTAAAATCTAACTTGAAGTGGTGATGACCACTAAAGAAGCCAGTTCATTTTAAATTCACTCTGCCCTTCAATAATACATACTTTGTTTCAAATATGCTTCACATCGTAACAGCGAAAGGTTAGGATTAATTTTTCTGTTTATTATCCGCTGATTTTCATGCGTAAACAAAGTCGGAAGTACGAAGGAAAAATTTTTAAGATGTGGTGGGTGCACCATATTTCTTACATAGTATAATGTGGCAAAGTTCTACAAAATGCAAGCCAAATTTTGTAATTGCTTAAGATACGCAAATTTTTACATTTAATATGAATAGTATTGTTCTTTCCTTCTTAGTCTTCATTAGTCATAAAGCAGTGGTGTGTGGGACAAAAGTGATGACCGTCACTTTTGTATTGTAAAACGTAGCCTAACTTTGGACACCGATAATCATGTGAGACAAAATTTGAAATCTATGCTTACTTCTAATTATCAAGGAATGTCGCCAACACAACACAGTATCTTGGCACTATTTCAGTTTCAAATCAACTTGAATAGCATACACTTCAATTCATTACTTCACATGTATATTTAGTCTGGAGTTGAGGACGAACCACCTGCAAGTGAGTACATGATTACGCCACTCGATTATTATATCAATGGTCAACTGATGAATCATTTAAAAACTGATGAGAACGATTATTTCCTGGGCGGCCGATACTGATTACTTGGATCGATCTTTGTCATGCATTTACGATCAAATTTTTTTCAGACTTGTAATTAAAAACTAAGTAATCATGTATAAGCCCTACTAATTTTTGTCTTTCAATTATTTTGTCAGGAAGCGATATGAGGCTAATCATGGAGTTTAGCGACTTCTTAGGTTTTTATTTGATACCATTTATTTGAATGCTGTTATTAACAAACTGCTTATGAGTAGTATTAATTATTACTTACTTAATACCGACAAATGTTAATCTCAAAATTTTAGCTATTTTAGCGATTTTTTGACTGGCATATCCGAATATCATTATTTGAAATGACACAATGCAGTATACGATTTGCAATTAAAATTTTGCATAATATGACCATTTTTCTTTAGCACATTAAAAGCAAAATTAATGTGAGAAGTTATAATTTCCATCATTTGTGAAAAGTTCAAGGTGTAATTAGTTTTTACTGTTTTCAAGATAAAATAAGATACAGAAATGAGAATCTCTGCATGAACACAACTAACTTTGAAGCTTTGCAGCAGAGTTTACAACAGGGCGAGGAAACTCAAAATATGAATATCTGATACGTAATTTCTTGGTTTGAAATTGCAAGCAAAAATCTGAGAAGATTGAAGGAATGTTTCTGAATTTACTTCCGCCAATAATTTTGAATGTTAAGTGAATGACTTGATTTGAGATGAAAAATGCCTAAAAAGGAAAATATAAAAAGAACAAAAAGTGCGCACAATATTTGTCCCATCCCAAACTGACAATATCACGCCACTGACTACAGATTTTTGCTACTTCTGTGTGCAATAAGATAAGATTAAAGAGTGCTCAATGAGAAACAGGTGTGCTGGAACACTTGCGCGCGCTAAATTTGTAAACACTGCAGATATTCGTAATGCACTGCTTCTCACATAAAGCAAAAACTAACTCTTCCAGTATCAAACTTGTCAAAGTTGCTATTTTTAACAAGAATTCCCACTCTTTTAAACATGCTCACTGAAAAGTGAGTACTATTCGAATTCATTCACTCAAACGACTTGAATACTAACGTACTAACGTACTTACTTGAAATAAGAAAAGCAAACATAATATAGGACTCGAATGCGACATAAATGTCAGTTGAGAACTGAGATCAGGAGATGATAATTTTCATATTGCAACCGCTCAGAATGATTTATTCATCCCAGGGCAGTGGTAATCTGAAACTTCTATATTTGCGGAGCATACTACGAATGGTGGCGGATTTTTGGCTTTTCCACGCAAAAACGTTGAAATAGTTGCTTTTACACAGTATGTACATGTTAGTCTTACTAACATTAGTATGACTAACATGTACATACTATGTAAAAGCATCTCTTTAATTTGCTACCTGTGCTAATGTGAGCTGCCAGCACTAATTGTAATTTAAAATGAGCTGACTTTGTTTAGCTTCCATTATTCCCTGATATTCCCTGAACATGAAAATATAAACTTACTTTCCACAGTTCAAAGTTTCCTCCATTAATTTGAGGTTAATTTCACATCCATTACTTGCATACTACCGTTAGGTCTAAATGCTTAGAAGCATTTGAATGATAAGATGTGCTATACTTTATGCAGAATATGTAAGTGTTTTTAAAGAGATGTTTACACATAGGGTAGACGTTAGTCTTCACACGATGCCTTTGTTGGTAAAGCTAAAAATCTGTCACCACTTACGTGCTTTAAACGAACTACTGTATTTGCATCTGTCTTGATTTACTTATAATTGTACCGAAGACTTGTATTTCTGTTTGACTTGTGTTTGAACTATAAATAAAGATTTTTAATGGGTTCCAGGCTCTTATATCTAACGGCTTTAGTATTGAGCTCAACTCTGTACGTAGTATTTTATTGTGTACCATATTGACCTTGTCATTGCTTTATTATTATTATTCGTTCTTATAATGTGCAAAGTTATTAATTTCATCAGCTACATCATTTCAGATGACAGCAGTAATTCAACCAGTCGAGAACGAAATGATAAAACAATTTGTTGGTTTTTATGGAAAAATTAATTGTTTACCTGAAATAAAGTTGATTAAAAATTTTGCATTACAAGTATTAAAAATATTGATTTTAGGGATGTTTAACACATCACAAACACGAGTTTTAATTCTTTATTTGTTTGTCGTCATTCTAATTGCTGAGAATGGTTTATGCAGCCCAGGAAAGTAGTAATCAAGAATTTTATCACTGTTGAAAACCAAAATGTATATTTTTCAAAAAAGTAGTGCAGAAAATTTTGCTGAGATATTTGTGAAAAACTTTCAGAATCAGTTTAATGGGGATGCGAAGTTCATGCAAGAAATAGAGCAAGAAACAGCAAAAATCTCAAGTTCATCATTTTTTGATACAGTTTGGGCGAACAAAGCTTATTTAATGTTGAAGGTTCATTTTCTTTCAAAATTGGATGAATATTTTGAAGTTTAATTACATCAGAAATTTTTTGCATCCTCACTCGTTTTTAACGTCATGAAAATGGTAAAATTTCTGTATTCTTATGCTAGCTTACCATTTAAAATTTTTTTATAATAAAATTATTTGCGTGTTTGTTGCAGAGAAACGTTTTGCCCGAAAATGAAGAACGCTTCAAAGCTTTAGTACTGTTATTAAATGGACGAATCAAACAAACTTTAAGGCTTAATCTTGATGACAATACTCTGAATCCCATCAGAATATTTAATCATATTCTTGAGTAAGTTTGTGTTGATTGAGTAGACGTGAAGGATTAAGTTTGGTTGATGATATTCCATGGTTTTATTCTGAGTAATATTCGAAACAGTTCTCGGACACTTCAGCTTCATTTGTTAAATTATTATGCTTATTGTTGCTTATTGTTACTACTTGTTTATCGCATCATAGGCTGGATGCTACGATCAGTACAGGAATGAGTTTGCCTTCGACTCCATTGTTAAACTATTTTCAAACGTATGCTAAGGGTATATTGTTTCGCAGCATGGGAGATACATTTCTTCTTCTTAACAATGAAGTATTTTTTTTTCATATTTAGAGAAATTCTAATGACATTTTTGGTGCTTTTCGTAATTCAGAAAAGTTTTAGTGAGTGTCATAGCGTTTTGATGAATATTTCTGCAGTTATCAGCACTGGAATAGTAAATTTTATGAGTTATTTAAGGAACATGGAAATAGGAGATATGAGGAACTGGCGTATGCCTGTTATTCGTTAGCGTTTGATATTTTTTACAAAACATCACCAAAACCATCTTTACTGGCTGCCATATTTGAACTCGAGATTCTTACGTTGCATACACTTCTTCAGCACTTCAGTGTTATCAAATTATCGAATGAAGATCTAAAGCAGGCACTCTAACATTTTCTTGTATTTTATTATTTTAAAATATTTTCACCGGAAACAATTATGGCCAATTTTTGTACAAAAATTACAAACCAGTTACAATTTTTTTTCAAACATACATATTTAAATTATTTTCTGAGGTATTCTTTAGATCGGGGAACTTTTGTATAGTTCTTGCCGTGGTCCATCAAATTCACGTTTCAAATCTTTTATGATTTCAATAAAATCGGTACCAAGCAGTCACAAAATGTATGTAATCGGACACAAACAACTTTGCAGTAAGTGTTCACTTTACTCTGCAATAACGATTAGTTTGTTTGTGAGTAAGCTTGAATTGAAATAATTTCTTGTCGTTGTTTTTACCATTCTTATTAATCTTATGTTTGTTTTGTATCACAGTAACACATTGTTTATTCCTTTTTTAGAATTGAACATTTTAATAAATGAACATGATTTCTTGATCAACCTTTTGTGGCTAATAGCATATAATGAAGATATTCGTGGAAGTGGTTAGTTTTATTTATGATTTATGAGCTTCAGTAACATCTAAAACTTGAGTTGTCTTAAAGAAGATGTTTCATTATTGTCTTGCTTTCTTTAAAGTAACAATTAGATCAATTGTATCGCAGGTTAATCAGTCCTCTTATTCATGTTTCAGCTTTGTTCTTTAATGAACTTTTTAATAACATATCTATTGGAGAATTTGAGGACGATTTACAGTCATTCACAGCATCGTCATTTAGCAGAATTGATGCTCAAGTATATTTTAACATCTGATTTCATTAACGTACACTGAATATCGAATCACAATTCATATATATGCCTTATTAATAAATAACTTCTTGCTTATACGTATCAAACACTTTTTAGATACTGCTCATAAGTGCAGCGAAATGGTCAAAATTAAATTTGTTTAGCAGACGAAACCTTGCTACTCCTAAGTTGAAAATCTTACCTCCAGCATTATTTCCTGAACCTAGTTATATGTTCATTAATTTTTGGAATTCCCTCGTATCACTTATACGAAGTAAAACATGGTAAGAAATAGAAGGTTGAAATTTAGTAAACATCCTGAAACTAAAAGTAATGTTTTGATAATAAAGATATTTCTTAAAGCTAGAAAACTTTTTATTTCTCCAAGTTCAGTTCTCCGAAACAGTGTTCTGAAAACGGGTTAATATTGTCGGCATTGGAAGCGTCTAGATTACGTGGAGACATTCCTGATTTGAGAATCTTAAATTTTACTCGAAAGTGGCTCATTATGAACGGGAATGCATTAGGTGATGTGAAAGGAAGTTGGGCGAAGCTCTATTCTCAAGTATTTATGGATCTCGTTAATGGGTGTGTTTACTTGAAAATTGTCTAACTCATTAAATCTCCTGTTATGTCATTGTCTTTAATTTTTAATTGACTTTGTCATTCTAAAGCATCATTATTGTTCTCTGTAGGGCACATTATGCAAACCAAAGTATCCCAGCAGAATCATTTTTTCCGCCACTAAATGATTTTGATTATGATATGCTTGACGACACCAAAACATGGCTTGCTCCTGAGGATTCATGCAATCAGTTAGAAACTAATCTTGTTCACGAAGAACCTGCGGACTCTCCAGAGGCATGGCTGAAATTTCAATTAATATTTTTTTGACTTTCATTAACTGAGAAGTTGCATGAATCTTTTTCGCATATTATTTAAATACAATTATTTCTTTCAGCACTGTGTTGCAGGTTAACCACGTTCCATCAAATATCGAAAAAGAATCCTCAAGCGATGCTCTATGTAATCGAAAAACTTTTCTCCAGCGCATAAGTATATCATCGAGGCTAGTATGCAGAGATTGTCGTCACTCAGTAATTAGCTCTCGTGCATCCAGAAGTAAAAATATTAAAGCGTTGAAAATGCTCAATGAGGTAGTTCGTAAATTTCCAATGTCTTAATGTGTCATTTTTAAATGTTACCTTTTCTCTTTTATTTCCGTCTTTCATGTGTTTGCCTTTTTCAGAATCATAGTATAAGATGCAAAAATGATAACAAAATAGAAGTTGGAACAATCAGTTTGTTGACTGCTGTTGAAAACAGTGGTACGAATATAAATTCGTGTTCAGCAATTATTCAGCTGCAGGAGAAACATGCAAAAGATGTAAGCAGGTTAGTTCTTTTTTTTAATACGTCATAAATTTTAGAAAATAACCTGAATGATTTGTGGGTTGCCATTATAGACTTGTGCAAACAATGAATTCATTGCAAGAAAAATTGATTCATCATACGGAAGAATTATCTGTGTACACCTCGGTATGTTTATTTTCTGGTTGCTTTGGACTTAATTCACTTCATATAACATTTGTTTCAATTATGGAGCACCTATCAATGTTTCGCATTTGAAAATCCAAATTTTTAAGACATGCAAACAAATATTCAAGTATTTCAGGAAGCATATAAGAAAGGTTATGCAGATGGTTATTATTCAGCTTTATCTATGAGAGGTATCTTCGGCAATCCTTTAAAATGCAGCGATCAGCACGGAGTTCATCCTTTCAAGTATGCAGCAACCTTCGAAACTGATATTGGGGATCAAATAAAAGATTTGTCACCTGGTCGAAATCCACACAATGCTAAGGAATGTATTGGTTGTGCTTCTGAAGAAGGTTTAAATCATTTCCATCTTGAATCTTTCATTTAGCTTTATTAATATATGGCCTTAGTGTCTAAGATTTTTTTTTTTCAGAACAAGATCTCTGCTTGAAGATACTTGATATGTTAGCAGACAGTGGTATGCAGTTTTTATGAGTTGATGATGCCTTTCAAGGAGTTTCTACGGATAGTTCGATCTCATCCGTTTTCAGTCTATTGGTCGTCAAAATAATGATATTTTGTTGTCCTTAGTTACATGCTTAAGATTAACTTTTATTACTTTTGTTTCTCATTCCTCATTGGAATTGAGATTGACTGAGTGTTACAATAAGAAAAAAAGACTGTTGCTGTTTTGTGCAGCATTATTACTAATCTCTTCTTGAAATTGCTGAATTGCTAGCGCTGCTTATTTTTTGCTGCGATTTTGTTAAGCGAACAGGATTAGTTTGTGTTCTTTTCAAAATTTTCATGCTGCTCAAGTTTATTAAAGCCGTTCTTGTTCCTGCATTATTAATAAAAACGTTCTACTTTTATCTGGTGATGAGATCAAAAGCTGCTTGATCTTCAGTAAAGAATCCTTATGCATTCATAACTCCGTTTCCGGATATAATTTGCTCGTTAAGGGGTATTAATATGATTCGAGATTTAAAAAGTATAGCAGCAAAGCAGTTGGTTGTATTAGATATTTACCACCGCTATTAATTGATCAATCTTACTTTCAATTCCTAACTTTTCTGTGAATATAATAGGTAATTTGAGAATGTGTGTGTTTTTGTCTCATCAAGAGTAGGTTGTTTCTCCCAAATTGTTATAGGTTATGGTGTTTTATGGATGTTGAGAAGTCGTATACACTTTTGCAGCTGAAAATAAACTAAGGATTTAATTATAGAATTAGGAACATGGCACCAAATAACCTTAACTTTCTTTAAATGAGATTACTCAGTTACCACGATATTTATGAATATGGAGAATTTGAAACTTGCTCGTGGAAAGAAACGACGGGATATTGACGATGTTCAGGCTTGTATTTAATTGTATCCAGTGTTTTGTTATGGTTTCATTTTTTATATAAATAGAGGGACAAAATTTTTCCGGCAACGATCTCTTTCTAAACCAGAATAGGTACTGGATACTGGGTTGTTAATCTTTATTAATTAAATAGGTACTGAGAAATGCATTTCGTTTTCAGCTTGCCTTTTCTATGGTTCTATGTGGTTAACAGACCTAATTTTGAAAATTATGAAAAATTTTTGGAGTAATTTATAAAAGCATTATTTTAGGATCAGTTGTTTGTATTTGGTTATGCTTCACGTGTCTATGCAAATGATGAGCGTGCTGAATGGGTTGCGGAAGAAAGACATTTGATAGCCCATCCATCAGATTCAGGCTTATTAATTGATAGGTGAGTTAATGGAAATATTAATAACGAAATTGAATTTGTGTTGTGTATTCTTTTCGGAACAGACTAACAAATAACCGTGATGCGTAAAAGCTGAGAACTGGTCATATGTACTGAGCAGCGATATGAACATTGGTAGGTTCCTTATAATTTTGAAATTTTTTTGTCAATATTTGATGCCAGTGGAGTATAAATTTGTTGTTTCTCTTAATATTTTATAGTCTTTTTACTTTTTAAATTGTGAGATCAGACCCTCTCTCTGAAGAAAATTTTTATTGGAAATACTGAGTCGTGGGGCTTATGTTTTCTCTACTTTCTCGCTTTCAAATGACAAAATTTCTATTTAAAAAAACCACTTCGTAACAAAAAGCACAGAAAATTTGATATCAAAAGGAAAATGTTATAAGTAAATTATTAAAAAAATCGTGATTAAGAATATCAAATTGCATCCTTGTAAATGAGAAGCTCTTTTATTTAAATTGTTATTGCTTCTCATCTTGTTATTAATATTTTTCTGGATACACTTAATTTCATTAAAGTAAATGTTTTCTATTGATTAGAACTATAAATTTCTATGTCTTTGAGAAATAGCGATATAATATAATATTTACGTTAAAAAATTGAACTATCAGTAAACTTCCGAAGGATTAATCTGATGTCAGAACAACAGTATTTTAAGAAATCGAAACAAGGTAAGTGATTGTTATTTAGCAGCAGCTTTTTGGTTTTTTATAATCAATAAGTGTGTTTATGTTTAGGCTTTGAATTTGTTTTTTTCTGTGATTTCAGAGGTGGATCAAATATAATGCGCGCCCAATAGTTTGGGCAGGATGGTGGTATATGCTTTTCGTAAGTGCAATATAATTCTGAGATGTGCTGTTTTGATTTGGGTTGGGATAAAAACAGAATACCTTTTAAAACATAAGTCAACATCACATGTGTTTATCTGCAGTTAAAATTTTTTTCTCAACTATTAATTTCAGAAAATCATGCCAAAATAGTTTGCAGATATGACTGTCGGTTGTATCTTTCTAATAAAGAAACGATGAATAGTATCACTAAAGGAAATAGTGAAACTAGCACATGTGATTGTCCTGCGGAGATGCTTGAGGAAGAAATGTGTGAAGAAGAAAGATATAAAGATATGCATGAAGATATCAGGAAAATCCAGCGTAGGTGTTGGAATTTATTATCTTTATACTGGTAGTGTAAGGCTGCGTGTATTTTAAATTTACTCAGAACTCATTTGTAAAGATAATGTATTCAAGGAATCGTGATTTTATGCAGAAGAATAATGGTTATTGAGTTTTTTGTGCCTAATTTCTTAAAAGAGTTTATATATTACATACAATTTCCATTAGGTCCTTTATACCATGTTTTATTCTTATTTTTCAGAGGAAGAAGAGGAAAAACGCACACGAGTGAAAATTGCATTTAATTATGATGAGGCAAAGATGGAGAACATCGGTGATAGTGATGATGAGGAAACTGATGAACCATTTCAACCTCCAGGAAGTATCAAACTTCCATTAGGAATGAATTTGGTTTGTTTTGCATCAAGTATCAAGTTGATTTATCTCAACTACATTTTCTCACGATAAAACTTCAAGCAAATAGTAATTAGCCTGTTTTGGGCCTAGGAACTTTTGGAATATTTTTTCGTGAAATTCGTTATTTGTATGATTGAGCATATTAATTGTAGTCTGAAAAAAATAGTTTTGGTGCTACAAAAGTAAATTATGCAAGTTACATTTTCCAGCCAGATACAATGAAAGAAAATGCAGTAATTGAACGTACAGCAACATTTGTCGTTGCTCAAGGACCGCAGATGGAAATAGTCATTAAAGCAAAACAGCGTGGGAATCAAGATCAGGTTTTTTGTCTTATTATTTATCAGTATAGTAAACACTAAAATTTCAATAACTGTAGGAGAAATGCATTTTGCAGTTCGGTTTTCTCGAATTTGATCATCCATTAAATGCCTACTACAAATATATTTCGAAACTGATACGAGAGAAAAAGTATGAACCAAAGTTACATATTCCAAAGCGTTCAAAACATGACAAAGAAGAAAAGAGTTCAATCAAAGAACATGAAAACGAAAAAGAAGAAAGCATAGGTAACTTCTGTAATTAAGATATATTTTTCCGAAACATACCAAGTTCTGCCAAAAGCACTTTGTTTATAAACCTGTCTGTCGGAATTTAGTTTATTTTAGACATGCATTATGATCGATTAAACGCAGTTTTTTTTCATTTCCCTCTTGTTAGAAATGTTGAACATTTCAAAATTATTATTTTAAACATGGAAATCATTTTTATCCATTACTCAAGCTTTTGTCAAGATTGGGATTCGGATAGTGATTTTGGATCTGACAATGGTGGAAGTTATTTGCATCCTCTACTAACTGGTGGATCACAGAAAAGTATTTCTAGTAACGACTTTCCAGTGATGGGTCCGAAAACAAAAGAGGAAAATGATATCACTTTTAAACCAATACAATTGAAAACTGGTTATAAATTGGGAAAGGTTATATCTAAATATTTGGCTCAACAAAAATTCCATGTCAAGCTTTTTTCATTTAAAATTTTATCTGATAAAGAATTCAACATCGAAATGTTTACTAGATATTTACATGAATTCTCGTTCCTTTTTTTTCCAGGCTGATGATATGTATTCTTCTTTATTCAAAAATTTATCTGATTTACTTGTCACACAAGGAAAGACAATACAGTCCAGAATTGAGTATGTTTTCTTCTTTTGTATGACTATTTTTAGTGTTATTTTACACATATTCATAGAGATTGTAATTAATCAAATGACTACAGAAATGTAAACAAAAATAAGGATTTGGAAAAAGGAGACTATTATGAATGGTATTTGGCTTTTTATGGTGAACCACCCCCAAGCAATGAACAGCCAAATGTGATACCTCCACCACCTGATATAATGCCTACCATAAATAGCGCAGCTGGATATGTTGCTAAATATGGGATGCAAGCAGAACAACTTTTGCTAGGTACTTTATGTAATGTATATCTATAATATTTTAGTACCTTTTAGAATTTGATTTAAAATATAATTACATCAACAAACGACATTTTCAAAATTCAGCTTAAAATTAGATCAATGATGAGTGTTTTATAGGGCGAAATGATCTCAATATCGGATTTTTACATGTGAATGATCCATATTATGGTTATTATCACTCAAAAATACGTTTTTTCCAGAATTTGGATAAATGTTCTTCTCAGTCTCAGATGGTGAGTTTTTAATTACTCGCATTTTCCATTTAAGAATTAATGGTTTACTTGATTGCCATATTTTTATCAAACAAATATGGAAATGAATAATTAGAACTTGATTTTCAGGGACAGAAAGAAGAGGCAGAAAAGGAAGTTTTGAACGGTGTGAAAGATGAAGCAAACATTACTGGTAAAATTTTAGCGAATAATATTTGGCATTTCAGAAACGAAGTTTATATTTGTTATTGTTTGCATCATTATGGCTTAGTGGTTTGATGATTATTATAGGAAAACTGGAAAGCGAAGAACTGTGTGATATTGATAGTAGTAAAGAGCAATCAGAGCCCAGCACATCAGAAGGATTGTCTACTGAGTTGCAAGTACCGTCAACAACTCAATTAAATCGGAAAATGCGTCGTCGAGGTTTCCATGACCCACCTTGTGCACATGATTTGCCGATTCAGAATGTTGCAGAAATTGGGGTAGTTGACGTTGATGTTCAGGTTTGGAGTTTTGTATTAGGGTCAGATCCTGATTTTCGCTTTTCAAAGGAATGACAATTATTTCAGTTAACTAAGGTTCATTCGTCACCAGCACTGTTGGAGAGTGTTGGAAAACAGGAAGATGCATCAGTAAAAAAGATAGGAATGGGTCCAATTTCATTCTCTTTGAATATACAGAAAACAGATGAAAGAGTGCCAAAGATAGCGAGGTAAATCAGTGTGTCAAGTTTTGTATGTTATTAATACTTAAGCTTAAAAACAGAAAGATTAATTACATTTAAATTTAAGACTCTTAATAGCTGCCCAATGATTAAAAAAGTAATATGAACTCACCGACCGGAACGGTTGTAGGTTTCTTTGCTTACAGCAATGTTTGCGGTAGTAATCTAACAACTGAAAATCATACAGAAAATGGTCGGAAATAGGATTATGATTATGAGAGATGAGGGTTGCTCTTCTTATTTTCAATATATTGAGTCCAGTTTTATAGTAAAGTTCTTCGACAAGCATGGACAAGTTTTCATCTAGATATTAAGTATTCCATTTTTGGTGAAACTAAAAATTTTGTTATCTTTTATAATTATTTGAGATAATTGCAAGAAAATACTCTATTATGAAATAATGATTTTATTGGCAGTGCGGTAAAACTTGGAGTTGACGATGATGACGAAGATGGTGAAGCGGAAGCTGTCGATGTTCCTCCTGGTGTTCTCAGTAACGTAAACATTCATTTTATCAAAATTCATCCATTACTTTTTCATTGTTGAAAATGCAATTCTAGCCTAAAATATGCTGAGATTTTAGTAATATGCTGTTTTTTACAGCTTCCGCCCCCAGGTTTAACTATACCACCTCCACCAGTCGCACCTATACCTTTATCTTCTGGACAGCTTGCAGTGGAAGGTTCAGCTGAGCTTCAGTCAGAGCGGAAATTGAAAGTATATATGTATTTTATATAATTGTCATTCTCCAATAAATTATTTGAATTGTAATAACAAAACTAATTAAATTATCAGAATATTTTTGTTTTTAAAGGCTCGATTGTTTATGGAAAAAATCTTGAACGAGAAACGAGCTGCGAAGTTGAGAGCTCATAATGAAGAGCAAATGAAACGTGAGAATGAACTCCTGAGAAAGTATGAAGAAACTCGTGGCATTGTCAGTCCTTTAGTTCATCTTGTACAAATTTTGTATAAAAAATATCTAGATTAAAACTTGTGACTCTTAATAAACTACATGATGAAAGTTGATTGGATTTTGGGATACAAGTTGCTGTTGCATCAATTTTTAAAGGAGATTGAAGTTGAAAATTGATTTTTTTTCAGTCAGGGTCTTCATCATTGGCGAACAAATCGAATACTGGAAGTGCCATGAATGAAGTAGAGATGATATTTTCTACATCTGCCATCGATCAGCTTATCAATTCCCAGATCGATAAAGTGATCACTGAAGCGTTAAAAGAAAGGCAAATATAAAATGATCTACTCTACGCTGATTACTCAAAAAATGATTTCTTAATCTTCTTTAGTATCAAATTTGATGTTGAAAAAAATTTTAATGCGAGATCTGTGATTTTTCTTCTGCTACTGTGTTCGTGACTTGATTTTTTTCGAAAAGCTAAAATTCGTTCTCAAAATTTCTGAAGTACTTATGTATTCCAACAAGAAATTGCAGGAGAGATCCAAAACATGTGAGCCATCACAAGGAAAAGAAACGAAGTAGTAAGTATAAGAAATATAGAGCTGAGGATAGAAAGATCTCTGGGGAACATCGGAAAAGGTAAGACATTTCACTTCTGCGGCCCCTCAAACATTCTATTTGTCGCTGTGTCTATGTCATTTAGTATTGTTTTACTGACTGCATTAACTTTAGTTATTTCAGCTAATATTCTGTTTATTAGCTGCAAATGTAACATCTATCAATTTATACCAGTGTTTGTTAAGTTCACAGGGACTTAATTTGAAACTGCTATTTAGATCACGTGACATATCTACTTCAGCAGATCAAAGACCACCAAAGAAAAGAAGGCATCGTTCGCCTCGCAGCAGTGATGGTGGCAATAAATGATATTAGTCATTTAATTTTTTGAATATGTCTTCAACGCACGCTAATTATATCTGATAATTTTGTTTGCTATAAGTTAACATGAGAGTATCACTATATTAAATTCGTAAAATTTTTGAACAAAAATTAAATGACTGTAATAACGAAAACTGCAGTTCTATTCACAGCTTTGAAGTCATTTGACTCCAAATTTCAATCATATGCATGACATTCAGTCTTGACTCTCATGGAACTCATCCTCTCATAATTTGACCAGTTAAAGCCGTTTACTTGTTTTCAAGACTAATTAAAAACTGCATACTAGAAGAAATATAACCACGAAGAATTACATTCGCAGATGGGTTATTTACCAGCATAATATGCAACATTTCGCATTTATACATAATCCATTTATGACGGTACTTAAGTTGATGACAAATTTCCATTTGTAAGTACTGTTTCACAGACGGACAATTTTTACTTCACAAAAATCAGCAATCGACGTATGCGAGTTGTCTGTCTTAGCATCGATCTCATTAAAGTCAATTTTCAGTTTCATAAAGGTACTGTTATTCCCGCGAACAAGTGCGTTAATGTTTACATATACTGAGCCAGCGACTATCTACAATTAAATCTCTGAGTGTAGAGGATTAGGAGTCAAAAATTATGTTTTGCTTAATGAATGAACTGTGATGGTATTACTATACCTTGACGGTCGGTGTAAGCATTGAAGGCAAAATAATAACATGAGGTATTGTGAGAAGTGATGCTCGTTCAACAGATTCACGAAGTTTGTAGGTTATGTCGTCAGAGGCAGGATAAAGTGGGTACAAGGAACGCTGTCTACAAATAGCAGAAATTTATTTTCAATTATGAAGTAGACATCAACTAAAGATTCTCATTTCCTATAAAACAAGTGGATGATATATATATATAACGAATTTAATTAATAATGTAAATCGACTAACTGGGAAGTAGTTCACCTAAAAAGATCTTGCATATTTATTTATATTTACGAAAATAAAAAGTCTAGATGCTGTCTGAAATTTAGCTTCGAGAGATCTGTTAACTAAATAAGGTAGACGACCAAATACATTAATAGCTTAAGCTTATATATATATATATATGCTTCTCTAACTACGTAATGTTCTCATACATACCACACCCACTTGTACCAGGAAGGCAGCAATTCTGAAGCAAGAGAAAGCTCATAACACGTACTTAGCAATTATTGTGCCTATCCGAAGACTAGATATAGCCTCGTAGAAAATGCTACGGTGGAAAACGTATTAGCAGCCCGAAGGCGTTCTTGTATAGCGAAATAGAAAAGAAAATCGACCATGCAAAGTTATACAAAATACGAACGAATAAAGTCTCGTCCATAGCTGATTCATCAGAGTGCCTACGATACGGATACATTACCCCGCATGATGAGGCACGGCACGATACTGTTATCTACAAGATAGAAATATGTTTGGAGGTGAGAAAGGTATGTGCCAACATTATGGGGAATGTGTGAAGACGGTGGACCATCTGGCAACGCTGTGCGAAAGAATGTAACATCACAACTATAATAGAAGACACAATCGATAGTTCTTAAAAGGACTCGAAAGCATCTCCTTTGACAGTCAATATGGATTCCAGGATGCATCCATTTTGGACTCTGCAGGAATTATGGTCTGAAAGCATTCCCGCGCCTGCAAAGCCATTCTGTTCAGGAGGCCGTCGCGAATGAGAATGTTGAGATCAGAGTCGATACGGAATCAGAATCAGAATAAAAGCGGGTCGGCCGGATATCATGATACACGATAAGAAGCGACGTGAAGTAATCCTGATTGAGGTTGGCGTCACTAGTCAGGACAGATTGACAGCAGTCGAGACCGAGAAAAAGCGAAAATCTACTTACTAATAAGCTTGGATCAGAGATGAAATGCAAGGCCAAAATAATTCATATGACTTGGTATGGGGTCGTAACGAACTTCCACAAACGCTATGCGAAAGAGATCAGTATATCCGATTACGTTGAGGCATACATCTAATCGATAGTTGTTAAAAAGACGCTCGAAAGCATCTGCTTTGACAGTCAATATGGATTCCACGAGGACGAAGCGAAAACGATGAGTACAACAAATCTGAGCTCGGGACAAGTACTGCCAGAATGCCGCAATGCGATCCAGCGCCAGAACCAATAAAGTGAAAACGAAAACTAACCTCTACATTTCTTTCACTATATATATATATAGAGAGAGAGAGAGAATTTGATTAAACTTTTAAAACTAAAAAGTCAACTCCATCTATTGTGCTCCCTCTCCATTAGCGGTCAGTTTTCAAAATATCCACAGATACCGTAAAAGAACTTCATCCAGCCTTTAATTTTTTCAAAATCTTTTCGAACTCCTCAAAAATTATTACCTAAACAAGTCTCGAACCAATCGAGACATTCTGTCATGATTTTCAGAGCCGTCTAAGCGACCTATTTCATTTTTTCCTAAATGTTGGATGATTTCGGACGCTGTTATAGCGAACTCGACTCCAGCAATTCGAACAATAGCAGGATCTGGTAAGAATATCATACTCTGTAAAACAGTGTTGTTGAGAATAATGCAAAAGTACGACTTTCGCTTAAAATTTCATGACATTAAGTCTTTTAGATGCATCTGCAGCAAGAGAGTGAATTAAAAACATTCTCAAAACTAACTTTTTTTGACAGCTGTTTTTGGTGTCTAAGGAAACGAAATGCCGGTGTTGGAAATGATGGTCGCAATGCTGCATCTTTTTTTCCATTTGGTATTATGAGTACTTGAACATCACTGCTGTAATTATGCAATAATATTTATTTTATTCTGCTTTATCAATCGAATGTGGTTGAGAACTGATTATGGATTATCCTGTTAGATAACATTACAAGCAAAGTTTCATCATAACATTTTTAATTTGTAACTTTGGACTAATTAAGGCAGATCAGAAGAAAGAAAATAACTTTTAATGCAAAATGTAGTATTCCGTTTATGACAGGAGGGCGATGAAATTTGGTCATTGTCTTTAATTTTTACAACCAGCTTTTAATTACTTATTTATTACGGTATTTCAGAGAAAAAATGGACTAGTAATAAAAAGCAACAAACCCAGATAAGGCATCATCTATTTTTCCAAGTAAAGTCTCCATCAGTTCGTCGTATGTAATACAGCACTTAGATGATCTCACTACAGAGCTTGTTCTATCAATGAACGGACCAATCTGAATTTACCAATTCAGTCTCAAGTTTCCCAAAACTCTTCGCAGGAAATACAACCACTTACCAAAATTAGGACATCAGGTTTTTCTTTATTTACTAGTTCGATGAAATCGTAAAGCTGTTCGTATGAGAGAGTGGTAGATGAAGTGAACGGGCCACATGCGCACCAAACATTTAAAAAATCTACAATGCTTTAATTTATAAGTCCACACTTTTCTATTTTTACATATAACTAACATCCCTTAGGAAACAAATTAAACACAAACGAATCTCTTTTAAATACCTTTAAATTGTCAAATCTGATTCCTATGAAAAATGCGAGACGAAATTACGGATAAAAAAAAATGTATTTAGTGCGAAATTTTACCAGTGCCACTTTGTCTTTCGAATGATGCCAACGGTGGTTCTTTTGGTTCGAAAATTTTATCTGGCACAAATAGAGAACCCATAAAAGTTCCTTGCATTCCAACCACCTGAAAATTAGAAATACGTTCAAGAAAATAATCTGAGATATTAGAAAAAAAGAAAGTAATCTGAGATATTCTTTATTCACAGAATTCAACATATTCTGTGAAGTATAATTTTTTTCAATATATATATCGCAAATAAAGAGAATGTATAATATATTGAATTATATATATTTCTAAAAATGGCGGTTGTATTCCGGAATATATATTGAAAATATGTTGAATATATTGTATCAGAAATATTGAAATAATATATTGAATTACTGAGTAATATATATTGAATATATTGAAATACTGAATATAGAATATATATTGAATTATATATCAAATCAATATCCACGGACGTTATTCCTCTTTTCTTCATTATTGATTCTGGCGCTGCATCGCATTCTGGCATTCTAGCTGCACTCGCCCCAAGCTCAGTTCTGCTCTGCTGATCTCCGCTGCTTCTTCTTCGTAGAATCCATTTTTCTCTGTCTGTCGAAAGAGATAATTTTGAGCGTCTTCTTGAGAACTATCGATCGGATGTATGCCTCGACGTGGTCTGATATACTAATTTCCTTCGCATAGCGTTTGTGGGAGTTCGTTACAATTCCATCATTCAATCGTTATCCCATTTGTAATTATTTTGGTCCTGAATTTCATCTTTGACCTAAGTTTATTAGCAAATAGATCATATATTCGCTTTTTCTCGGTCTCGACTGCTGTCAACCTGTCCTGACTAGTGACGCCAACCTCAATCAGGATTACTTCACGTCGCTTCTTATCGTGTATCATGATATCCGGTCGATGCGCTTCTATTCTGATTGCAGTTCTAATTCCGTATCGACTCTGATCTCAACATTCTCATTCGCGACAACCTTTTGATCAAGACGGCTTCGCAAGCGCGGGAATGCTTTCAGATCATAATTCTTGCACAGTCCCAAGTTGATGCATCGTAGGGCCTCATTGTGTCTTCTGATATAGTCGTAATGTAACAATTTTTTCGCACTGTGTTGCCTATATATATATATATACATATATATGGTATGGTACAGCCACAGAGCTAGCGATCATCTACAAATCATTGCTTCTGACCGTCATGAAATTTTTAAAAGATGTTAATTCAATAATAAATTCGAATACTGTGTGTCACAAAAAGAGTAAAAAGTAGAGTAAAAGCATTTACTTTCCCAGGAAATAGTGAATATGCTTCTAGATTGTTGAGATCAAGTTTTACAACAGCGGAACTTTCATCAATGCATTGCAGTGAGCAATTGTTAGTATCGAATTGCTCCTCTGAGCAATTCAGTACATAACCTGATAAAACGGTCTGAATCTGCAAAGGAAATATTGTAAAACAATTGTTATCTCGTAAAAATGCTAAAACAATGCTATATTTCATAAAACTGACTACTGAAATTAAATGAAAATATTATTTCCACAAAAATCTATGTCACTTCAAACCAGTGTTTTCATGCATGTAAAATTAATAGGTTTTTAAATCTACTACTCTCAAAATAATTCAAGTACTTAAGACAAAGAAAACGTACAAAGTCTTTCTGTTCCGTTCTTGCAAGCTTTTCATTTTCATCCGTAATTATGCCACACAAGCACCGAACTCGTGCAAGAAGCGCTTACATAAAAAACAACATATATAAATAGTTCAAACAAGATCTAACATTTTTTAGACTGAATAAATAAAACTACATATCTTTGGAAAGCAAAAAAAGCTATATATATATATATATATATATATATATA